AATGCAGGTTTTCCTTTTAAAATAAAGAGAAAATGGAGTATTTCATAGTAAAATACAGCACTAAGCCCCAGATCCTAAAAAATAATATCAAAAAACAAGAAAAAAAGAATTCCCAAAACAATTCCTGGCCCTTTTTTGGGGGGGCCCGTGTGCGCATGCGTCCGCTGCCGCCAGGTGACTCGAAGATGGCGACGGTGCCTCTGCCGCTTAAGAAAGGCAAAATGGGCGATCTTCGCCGCCCGTGTGCTTTTTGCCGACTGCAGCTGCAGCTTTTCGTCTCTCTGAGGCGGTGGCAGAGTTCATTCTGCCAGACCTCGAAGAGCTGCCCACAAAGACCCTGCTGAGGCGCGGAGAGAAGTCTCGAGCCTCGTCCTCGTCTTCCGCTATGGGGGCGGGACCCGCGTTCTGTTTTTGGAGGTACTTGCCGCAGATTTTCCCGGTGCTGGCCCGCCTGGTGACGGTGCCGTCTCCGGAGGCAGGCTCAGTTCAAATGCTCTCTGCCCCCGCGGAGCATTGCAGAAGGGCGGCCGTGTTGTTTTCCGTGTTGGCGGATTCGTTTTTTGGCCCCGTGTTGCGAGGTTCGGCACCATGTGCAGACAATGTTGCTGCGACTTGGATGCGAAGCTGTGGATGCGAAGGGCTTCCGGACTCTCTCCAATCGCTCTCTGCAGGAGACTCTGTCCGTTGGTGGCCCCCCGTGGCCCAGAAGGGCCGGGACCGGGATCGACACCCGTGGCTGATGGGCGCAGGCGCGCGAGCGCGCGTCAGCGGCGCGTCAGAGCAGCATCAGAGAAGAGCAGCGAGTGAGACGAGACGAGACACTCCGAGCCGGGAGGTGACGAGCCCAAGAGAGTGCCGCGAGCCACCCATGCAGCTGCCTTGGCAAAAGCCAGGGCAGGAGGTGGAGCGCAGCAGGCCACCAAGCCTCACACGACAGCGCGTCGGAGAAAAGATGCCTCACACAGGGCCGGCACAGTCGCTTTTTCTGGCTCTCTTCTGGCTCTCTCGCTCTCAGCTCTCTGCCGAGGAAGGTGTCCTACGCAGTGACGTTGAAGGGCCGCTGGAGGGCTCAGGAACGCCCGCACGTTCCGCTGGAGCTGCTGCGGGCGTCCGGAAGCCAAGAGATGCGGGGGGGGGCCGGGGGAAAAGGGGGGGGCGGGAGCGATGCGGAGGCGCGGAGGCGTTTTTTTTGGCGTGGGAGGCCCCTGCAAGTCGGCGAGCCCGTGGAGCTTTGGCCCGGGGCTAAGAAGAGAGCACCGAGCGCAGACTTTCGCACGGGCACGTGGCAGAGGTCCAGGAGCGACGGGTGGCTTTTGGCAGAGGTCGAGGGCCTCGAGGCGAGCTGAGCTGAGCAGCGCGGAGCTGGCCGAAGCGCTCTCCGAGCGCTCCTCTCAGGCCAGCACGGCACTCCTCCGCCATTACAAGGCGGCCAGCCTTGAAGACGCCATCTCTTAGAATGTATACATCGTCTCTGTTGGCGAGGTGCGTGTCTTCGGCCAAGAGGCCGTGGCTGTCGTAGAGGCTCGCCGTGACCCGTGACCGCGTGGCCGTGACGCCGTGACGTGACGCTTCTGTCCAACTGAGGCCTCCTACCTCCGGCGCCGCTTCCTCAAGGGAAGCAGAGGAGCTCAGTCCGGAGACGGTTAGACGTGGCCCTGCGCTAGATCCCGCGCTCTCCCGCGCTCTCAGGTGCTGTGGAGGTCTACCGGGGTCCGGCACGCGGCTGGATCTGCACCAGGGTGTCCGACATGGACATGGCATCAGGCGAACCTCCTGGCCAGTCTTCTGCCTCTCTGACCGGCGTTTTCAATCGCCGAAGGTGGAGGCCCTGGCTTCACAAACCGTGCTTCCTCCCTGGATGCTGTGACGGATGGCTTCGCCCAGGCCACGGAGAGGGGCGGAGAGGGGAGAGAGAGAGAGAGAGAGATGATGAGGCCGGGGGTTTTTGACTTAGTTATAGGGGGATTTCTGCTCGTAACCCTCGGCCAGCATCGACCTTAAAGTTCACACTGAGACCGCACAACCAGTGCGCGCACGCGCAGAGTACGGTTGACTGTGTGGAAGAAGAGAGACCACCTTCCGCGAAAATGGGAACGAGGCTGATGGCGGCCACCCGGAGCCTCCCGCAGAGCTTTGTGAGCCCCAAAGCGGCGCCGATAGCCGACGAGGCGATGCGAGAGACGAGGGTGGGAGAGCTCCGAAACCTCCCCCGTGCCTCAGGCGCCCCACCGCGGAAGTCGGATGGCTCGAGGTCCGAAGCTTCCAGGGGAGGGGAGGGGGGGGGCGGGACTTCCAATCTTTCGGTCTTTGTAGGTTCCAGCCCTGCGACTTCGTCGCTGGGCACCCAGAAGAAGGGTCTTGGGGGGAAAGTCGCCTTTGTATAGAGCGCCGCAGGCCACGGTTCCGGTGCTCAAGGCATGGGGAGAGCCGGTAGAGCCGAGAGCTCTTCAAGGGAGCTCGTGGAGCCCTCCTTCTGTGCGCCGTGCAGGAGTTCGCCGTGAGCGACGAGGACGTCGAAGAGGCAAGGCCGCCGCTCTCAGCAAAGCCATGTCTTTCCACACGAATGTTTTTGGCGCTTCTCAGGTCCCCTCCTTCTTGCTGCGCCCAGCGGCCAGCAGTGCGAGAGCTTAGCGCCAGCCGAGCCCAGCGCCACGTGTCCGCGGTTCCGCGCATCCGAGGCCCCTCCTGCCCGTCCCAGGTCTTCCAAATCTGAGTTGAGAGTGCAGGCACAAGCTCCTGCAGAGGGAAGCCGAAGGCCTCTCCCCTCTCCGAGAAGTGGCGCAGGGCGCGAGCGCAGAAAAAGAGCGCAGGCTCGAGCAGGACTTGGACCAAGGAGCGAGTCTTGGTTGGGGTTCGCGGCGCGCCACATGTCCGGAGCGGCTCAGAAGCTTTGGGAGCCCTCCCTCTCCCGCTCAGGGGTTAGAGCGGGACTTCGGGGGACTCATGGAGCCTTTGCCCTTGGAGCTCGCCTGGCACTCGGAGGTGTTGAGCCGCCACCCTTGGCCTTGGCCCTTGGCCCTGCTCTCTGAGTCTTCCGCGCCTGGCCGCGGCGTGGGCGTTGGCCGCGGCGCAGCGGGCGCTGCCCTCCCGCCCCCGCCCAGAAGGACAGGGCCGAGCGCGAGCGGGCCCAGAGGTGCTCAGAGGGAACCGGGCCGAGCTGAGCCGTCTGCTTCTGTGGCTCTGCAGGTGCCCCTGTCGCTGTCTCCGTCGGCTTCGGCCTCGCTGGGACCTCAACGGCTGCAGGCAGAGTGCCTTCGCGTCAGCTGCACCGCGCTGCTGCGCTCTGAGGTGGGGCTCAGGGCCCAGGCGCACAGAAGGCAACACCGCGCTCCTTGTGTGGCACAGAAGCCCCAGCCAAGTTGCACGTTACAACCCTCACCGAGCGGCCTTTTTTTACATGATCCATTCGGGTCGCACGAAAGGCCACAACGCGATCGGGAGAGGGAGAAGAGGCACATAGCAAGGAAACGAGGATGGGCCAGGGGCTTGCGTGGAGGGAGTCCGGCTTCTCTTACACTCACCGGACTCGGACTTCAGGCATAGTGACGTGCCCCGAAACATTTTTGCAAGCGCGCGCAGAGACTGCGAGGGAGGAAACCCGGCGGAGACCCTGTGTATGAAACGCATATATGCAGTGAACATACGCTGATTGACTGGAGACATGTCAAGAATGTCTGCCGTGCTCAAGTTGGTTTATCAACGGGTGTTTCACGAAGAGATAACGCCTGGACTTGAGCTGGTTCGGGCAAGTGGCGGTTTACGAAGGTGCCAGACCCGTCAGACAGGATCGGTGAACTTTTGTCGGGGTTGAGTGGGCCAACTGGGGGGCTTCATGCAGAAGCTAAGACTGGGGTAGTTGCTCCGGGTTGGTGCCGCGCAATCGGCAGCGGGCCAATGTCGGCCAGGATGGCAGTAGTGGTTCTCGGGATGGTTCAGATCTGTCGAGCCGTCAAGTATTCCTCTGCTTCTGCGCCGACCCCCGATCTGCAGGCCACCTGTTGTGGCACGACGCGTTGCGTTGCAACACATGGCGTGCTATAAACTTGCAGCGACATATTTGGAGCTGCGTAGAAGTCAGGCCTACCCGAAAGGCGCACAAGGAGCCCAACCCAGCAGCTGCGAGAGCAAAAAGTCGTATCTCTCCAATGCTCGAAGCCCCAATATGCAGAACAAGGGCAGAGGAGCATTTTTACAGGCAGGAGTCAAAAGCCTTCTCCCCAAACCCAAACCTGAAAACCAAGAACCACACTGGATGTTCCATGAGCTGAAAACGATCAACTGTGAGCCCGTTTAACTGCCCCGGCTGAGCGTCTGGTATTCCCTTGCAGGGTTTCCAGATTACGCTGCGCTTGAACAAGAACCCTGGAGCCAAAACCCATTACGTATGCACTCGGGGTTGTAACGAACGGAAGAGTGTGGACAAAACGCTTCACTGCATGTTCTGTCAGGTCCCTGAAACAGCAGCTTTGTGCTTATTCCTCCAGGGGCCGAAGAGGGTAAACGCCAAAGAACCCCAAGGCCCCACCCCATGGCAGGATTTTTTTAGAACGGTACTGCCGCCCCCGCGCTCTTTTTGAAAAAGGCGCAGAACCACCTTCGCAGCGTAGACATGATGGGGGCAAGATGGCATACATGACTACTCGTACCGCCTTGATGGTGCATGCGGCCGTGGTGTCCTCCAAAGTCGAAGGTGTTTAAAATGGCCCCCAGTTGCACACAGTGGCCGGCAAACGCACCCGTGGTGGGTGCTTGGTTTGTGTCTCTCGCTTTCCTTTGCTACCTCCAGGCCTCTATGAGAAGGTCAACCTGAGTCATCTATGCCCTTGCGTTGTTTTTGTTGCAATGGCCTTTACTGCGTGGGTTTCTGGCGATTCACAGTCCAGCAGTTGGTTTTCGTGGCATTTTGGGGTGCCGTGGAGAAACGACGCAGAATTGCATTCTTTGCTGTGGCTGTACTATGGATGCTTTTTGGAGTTTTGACTCCTTGACGCTTGCGGGTCTTCAGGGCTTCAACTACGAGTGCGAAACCCTCATGCGATATGTTTTTTGCGCACCTTTTGGCAAGCGCCAAAAAAAGGCATGCATTCGACTTTCCAGGAAGGGCTATGATTGGGTTTGTCTTCGAGGGTGCGTGTGCTTTGGAGGTCTTCGAAGCCTGCCTTACGCGCCGGCAAAGGCCGGACCCAAGTGTAGGAATGCAAGTGACCGTCCAGCAGAGCCCGGAAGAGCCAGGTTCAGATCCGAGGCAGCGTTGGGGTGCTTGAAGTTCCGAGTTTCAGCGCTCATTGCTCTTGGACGCAGGAACCCCTTCACTGAATGGAGGGACTCTGGCTATGCAATTCCAGGCACAGCTTTGCAAAGAAGCAGATCGCATTCAAAATGCTTCAGACTATGAGGCATCGATGGCGAGCCTGAGAACTATTCAGGCCGCCCCCGACTTTTCCTGCCCCAAAGCGCACCTCCGACTCGAAGATCAGGGGAGGACTGGATGTTCGGCATGCGCGAGGCCCTCGGGGGCAAAGAGCGGCCGGCAGCCTACTCTCCGGGCTTTGGGGCCCTGCCTCTTTTTGTCCCGCTTCAACTTCTCCAGTCTTTAAATCGCTCTTTTGCAGGGAGCTCCAGGCCGAGGCGAACGCTCTCGCACACCAGGTTTGGCTTTGGGGAGGGAGGGAGGGAGGGAGGGAGGGGGGTCAGGGGCTGAGACCGCGGGACCTCTCTTCGCTCTCAGGTCGCCAAGGCCGAGCAGCAGCAGGCGGAGACGAGTGATTTGGGAGGGGAGGGACCTGGGAGTGCCAGTGCGGGCCGAGGCCGCGCTCTCTGAGCGCCTCACCGGCGCCGAGGAGAGAGCGAAAGAGGGAGAGAGAGAGAGCGAAAGAGCCGTGAGCCGTGAGCCGCCATTGCGGAATCGCGTTTCCTCTCGCTGTGTTCCGGTGTGCTGCTCCAGGAGCGCGAGGGCCAGCTGCGGGAGCGGCTCGTTGAGGAACAGGCCGGGGAGGGGGGGGGGCAGAGCGCGGCCAAGTGCCCGGGTCGGACCAACGCTGCCGCCGCTCTGCGGCTCAGGAGCGGGCCAGAGTCGCCCAGGAGAGCTACGAGGATCCCGGAGCAGAGTAGCAGAGTGAGGAAGAGGATGAGGGAAGGGAGGAAGAGCAGAGAGATGACGAAGGAGCTCGCGGAGCGTGTGGAGCAAGCACAAATCGCCTGGAGCCCAACGCGTCCTCATTGGTCAGGAGGAGTTGAGTGTTTGCTTGTATCTTCGCAGCCATCGAAAAAAAGAGCAGGGGGACTTAATGCTACCGACTACGACTGGCTCCGGCTTCTCCTCCAAGCATTCCACTTCTCTGTTCGTGCCGAGGAGAGGGACCTCGCGCTGGGCGGCAAAGACAGCCGCGAGGTCTGGCAGGGACCGCTTGATCGCTTCAAGAGCCCTTGACAACTTGAGCCCGCTCAGGAGCTTGAAAGGAAGATCGAGGAAATGAAGGAAGGGCAGCTGAAGGCGGCACGCCTTGTGGAGTGGTTCCTGTTTCGACTGGCGCCTCTTTGTCAGTTGGAACGTGAGCTGTCGGAGTCCAGGGCCAGAGAGGCCCGGGGACCCGCTGGCCTTCGTGTGCTCCTGTGCATGTGCAGAGCTTCCTGCAGCTGAGGCTGAACGTGCAGGGGAGCTGAAGGAGAAGGAGGTGGAGCTCATCACCGTCCGCCGGGAGAAGGCCCGCACAGGGGGAGCCGCGACCGACGCCGGGCTGAGGCGCCAGGCGGCGAGGCTCCAACACGCGCATGTTTTTTGTTGAGGTCGTACTCACGAAAGAGCTCGCGGATGCCAAGAAACGGGAGAAGGAGCTGGCCGCGAGCGGGGCTTACGTTCGGCCATATATATATATATATATATATGTATATGTATATATATATATATATATGTATATGTATATATGCACCGATCGACCACGCTCCGTCGGCTAAGGCTGCTCGAGCAAGCTCAGCATCAGATCCTGGAGCTCACCAGCGCCAAGCGCCAAGATCCAGCGGCGCAGCTCTCTCCCGCTCTCCCCTTTTGTGCCTCATGCTGTCTCCAGCTCCAGGATGAGGCCGGAGAGATTTTGGCCGACATCGATTTGGAGGCGCAGGGCGAAAGGGGCATCGCCTCGTCGTCCTAATTAGGAGTTCGAGTCGCCCCGACACCGAGGCCCTGACAGCAGGCCCAGAACTCGGAGCGGAGAGAACTCAGACAGCGTTTTGACTCAGAGAGTTTTCTGGAGGTGTGCCACCACCGCCTCCAGCAAAAGCCCCACTGCCACCACCGCCACCGCCTCCGGGCAAGGCGGTGCCTAGCAAGGCGCCCGCGCCGCCGCCGCCGGCGCCGCCGGCGCCGCCGCCTGTGCCAAAGCAGAGAGCCGAGGCCACTCGCCCGCCCCCACCGGCCCCTCAGGCAGCCAAGCCCAAGCCCAAGCCCAAGCCCAAAGCCAAAGCCAAAGCATCCATCCCTGGCCCGCCACCCTCGCCCTCGCCCTCGCCACCTTCCTTGTCTTCCAAGCTTTCGAGCAAGGCACCCCCCAAACCCCCAGGCAAGGCGCCCCCACCCCCGCCGTCCCCGCCGTCCCCACCGTCCCCACCGTGCCCGCCATCCCCACCTCCAAGTCCCAAGGCCAAGGCCACGCAGAAGTCGATGGGCCGGGAGCTTTGTGGGATACCTCCCAACCCATTCCACTCTAAGCACTCCGCTTCGCTGAGGCCGCGCCTGATAGCTTCGCTGCCGCTGCGAGCACCGCTGCGCTGCCGCTGCAAGCGCCGCGTCTTGCAGCGCTTCGGTTCCGCCTGCGCTGTTCGGGCCGAGTGCATCGAAGGGGAGCTCCGGTTCGCAGAAAGCGAAAAGGCCTTTGCATCTCGTGGCCGTGCTTTCACGAAGCGAACCCTTCCCTTTTCGCCTTGACTTGACAACGCTGTTGCCTGAGAGCCGCCCGGAGTTTGGGGGGCTTTTTGTGAGTTCTCCGCAGTATGAAAAGGATGGTCGTTTAATATATATGACGGTTATATTATCATCAGGTGCTTAAGAAACCGACCGAAAACCAGACTGTAGGTTTTGAAAGAAAAGGCTAACCTTATACCACATCCGATGAGGTTTACTTCGACGATGATGGCAGTCAGGAATTTGGAGAGACATGAGGCAGTGTGAGCCACTCGTTCATGGCATTTCGGATCAAGCGGGGGCGATGTTGCGCATTCCCTTCAGTCTGTGACCGTCTTTTGCAACACATCCATTTCTCAATTTCCAGACGCTCGATTGCAAACGTGAGGGAAGGGCTTTTGATAGAGGTCTTCCAGCGATGCAAGAGCAGTTGCCCGTAACTGTTGTATGCAAGAGGCACATGCCGCGAGTAGATAGCAATGATAGCATTAATCGTTGCACGGACTGTCACCTTGACAGAGCTGCACGGTTGTGAACAACCGAGCTTGAAACAATGAGGGGGTTGGTCTAGACAGCGATTTCAAGAGCACCACACTACCCACAAAAAAAGAGAAGTACACAGAAGAGCATTGAAGTCAGTCGGGTAGGGCCTCCTAGGAAAAACAACACAGTGTGAAGACGGAGTCTGCCCAGGCGTATCTACGCTGGATGTGAGTGCTGCTGGATCCCAAGAAGCTTGGCATAAGAGCCTGTTCTATGGAGCCTCGCCTGCCTACGAGGCATATACAGGATGCTTTTCGCACAGAGCCGAGCCCCTCTTTTGGGGCTCCTCGGGCTTTGGACTCTTTGGGTCCCAGCGGCGAGCGTTCCGGACGCCTCGGCCTCAGCGAATCGCCACGGTCGCCACGCCCATGCCATGCTCTCCGCCCCTTTGTGAGTCCACCACCGCCTTTTTCCTTTTCTTGGAGGAGCTCGAGCTGGAGCCGCCTCGGCTGATGCGCGCCCAGCGCGAGGCGAACAACAAAAACACAGCTACGAGCTCGTGCGAAGTTGCGTTGTCAAGCTGTCAAGCCGCAAGGCGAACCGGCATCTTGGGGCGGCCATCGATTTGGCAGGACGAGAAGTGATTTACAAGTAGCGTTTAGTTTAGGGCCGTTTAAAGCTTAGGGTGACTCACCACAGGAGAGATCGAATCCCTCGAGCTCACGGCGCCTCGGGGGCGGTGCCGATCATGCGTCAGGCATTAGCAAAAGTCGTTGCCCGCAGGCGGACGTCGATTGCGTGGCCTCCTCGAACTGTTCCGAAGGTTTTCTTGAAAGGTTTCACGAGGTTCGTCGTGAAACCGTGCAGAGGTTTGGAATGACTGGGTGGACTGGAGCGTCTGCCAGTTCACATGCGGTGGAGGCGAATCCATCAGGCACTTGCAAGCATGCCGTGAAGCAGTGCATGACAGTGTCGTGTTTCTTGCCTGTGTCACCTGCGTTGAGGACCCGCAAGGTCAGAGTAATGGCGCAGGGGCACGGCAAGGCTTGCGATGGCAACGCCAGAGAGTCCAGGGCCACTTGCCTGTGATGGCTTTCTTGTCATGAATGCCAGGCCATGCCAGGCCATGCATGCTCCACGGTGCATGTCAAACATGAGGAGTGCACAAAGAATGACTGTCCGGTGGACTGCTTGTGGGCAGACTGGTCGTGTCCTGGCGGCCTAATTCGGCTACCCGGTTTCGCCTCAGAGACGGACGGCCTGACGGCTTCTCTCAGGAAGTACTCGGCATGCAGCTCGACCTGTGGTCCAGGCACGAGGAGCCGCTCACGTGACTTTCGGCAGGCCATCTGCTGGCCGTGGATTTGAGGTGGGTGATGTCTGCCATCGTTTCAAGTCGATGAAGCACAGGCAGCTGAATTTGGCGGCGCCCAGTGCGTGGGAAACACCACACAGCTTGGGCCACGGAATCCATGCGAGGAGCCGCCGAAGATCCGCTCGCCCCTGTAGGACTTCAGACTGCAATTTGGGCGACTGCCCCATCGACTGCGAGTACGCAGACTGGGGTGCCTTGGCGAGCAGAGTGTCCCGGTCCGTCTCGGTGACAGCGGCTTAAAAGACTGACCCATCTCCTGCGAGACCAATGGGGCGGCTGCTCCAAGTCCTGCGGCAAGGGGACGCGCCGCGGGGCCCAGCACAGCGGCTGCCCAGCGTGTTTTCTCACTTTGTTCTGCTTGCAGCGGCAGCGGTTCAGTGTCTCGGAGGGAGCGTGCACTTTGCACTCTCTCGGAGCGACTCGAAGCGAGCCTCTCTCTCGCTAAGGAAAGCGCTTCCGAAGCGTGGCGGCCCGTGGCCTAACTTCTGTCACGGGCTGGAAAAATCAGGCGACAGGCTAGCGGCTCTGTGTCTTCGAGGTGCAGCCGAGTGCCGACGGCACACCATGCGAAGAAATAGGGCAGGGAGCCTCTGAACCCCCAAAAAGCGTGAAGAAAACGCTGGAGCTGCTAGTAAAACTGCCAGGTCGGACATGGAAGAGACCAGCTGCGGACAGAACAGCTGCCCTGTGGACTGCGTCCTTACGGACGGAAGCACTGCAAGCTTACGGCGGTTACGGCGGTGTGGGGCCTGGCCGTGTTGTGCCCTGCAGGACTGGGGCTTGTGGGAGCTCTGCGACGTGAGCTGCGGCGTTGGTGTCACCCGACGCACGCGGTCAGTCCAGGCCGGCGCGGATCTGGCGATCTCGCGCTCTGTTGGCTATGGCTTTTTCCTCCTTGTGAGGTGTATGCAAGCTATGGTGGCCTCTCGTCGTTCAAGTTGCCGAGCTGTGATGCGTCCCGAGGGCCTCTGCAAGCCCAGGCTTGGCATGCGAGAGCCTCTCCGAAAACAAGACCTGTGACAATGGCGTCTGCCCCGTCGACTGCGAGCTCAGCGACTGGAGCCGGGGTCTTGCATGCGATTCCACGAAACCCCTTTTATAGAGACAGCGAGAGAGAGCGAGACTGTGTTGTCGGGGCAAGCTCCCTTTGCTGCCGCGTAGGGTAAAGTATGTTCGCCTTGATGTTTCACTGGTTGGGGGAAACTCCGTTCGGGTGCCTCTGTATTCTGTCTTTGTAGTGGCCTGCCCAAGGCCGTGGACTTCCAAGTGATCTCATGTTGTGATGTGTCGTTGCTGTGCTGCGAATGTTGAAGGTATTGTAGAACATACGTGGCGTTTGGGTACAGGAGTAGGAGTTGCATGTCAATTGAAGATGTCTGAAGCACGGTTTGTGGAGCTTGACTGAGGCGAGTGGAGCCCATGCGATCGTTCCTGCAAGACCGATTCGGAGCCCGGACAACGTCCGCCCCCGACGCGCTTCGATCGCGGCTTTTGCGGGGGGCCTCCTTGAACTGCGGTTTGGCCAGGCAAGCGTTTCAGAACGGTGGTTGCCGGGGGCCTTGGCACCGACAAGGCAACTGCAAGCAGCTTTGCCTTGCAAAGGAGCAGGGGAACGAGCTGGGGAAGCCTTGCCCATCAAACCAGACGTCGCAGCCCACAGTCGAGAAAGGCCCCCAGGCCCCATGACATCTCGATGTCCTCAGGTCGATTCAGCAGACGGGGACCTGCAGCCTGAAGCAGTGCCCAACAGACTGCAAGCTATCGGACTGGACGCTGTGGTCCGATTGCAGCGCTTCGCCCAGAGAAGCTCAAAGAAGTTCGCCTTCGCTCGCACTCGCCTTCGCTGCGCGACCTGGCCCAGGTGTCTCCTGCGGACCCGGTCAAGCCGAGAGATCGCGACAGGTGCAGGCGCGGCTGGCCGCTTGGGACCGTCGCGGTCTCAGTTCTCTCGACCCAAGCTGTGGAGGTACCGGCCCTCTTTGGTGGTCGGGACTGTGCCGGCGGGAATTCGCTGGTGCCTCAAGGAAGAGCAACAGTGGCGTGAAAAGTGAAACTGTTTCGCTGAGGACCTACGAGAAGAAGTACTGCAGCGTGGACACCTGCCCAGTGGACTGCGAGTGGAATGCTCACACCCCAGGAGAAGCAAGAGAGGGGCCGGGGCTTACTAGTAGCATGCATCTGCTGAGGATTGGCAGGACTGGCGCGGTTGCTCCACCTCCTGCGGCCCAGGTTCGGGGGACCCAATTAAGGGGACCCAGCAAGGGGGCCCTGCCCTGCCGGCCCTGCCGAGGCCGCGGGCTGCGCATGCGGGATGCCCGGAGCCCGGGGAGCCCCAGCTCTCGTGCTCCTGTGACAACTCGGCTGGCACTGGCACAGCTGGAAATTCGTTTCGGCTAGGTGCGGACGCCCATGCTGCACGGCGGAAAGGCACCAGCTCGAAGATTTGGAGTGCTCGTTTACGGCTTGTGCTTGGAGGACTGCGAGGGTGGCTTCTCCCAAGAGCGGGACTGCAACCTGCGCTTTTGCCCACTGCACTGCGCGTCGGGACACCCGGATGACCGGATGAAGAGAGACTTGGTGGATCCGTGGGCCGTGGTTTTTGTCAGGTTGGCTGCAGGGGTCCCAGCGACTCACAGCGACTCAAAACGGGATCGGCTTTGTCGGGTTCCCCCAGGATTGGAGCGACTGGGGCAGCTGCAGCACCAGCTGCGGAGACGGCCAAGAAGCCCGGGAGCGGCGCGTGGCGGCCAGGGCCCCACAGAAGTGACTCAGAAGTCTGAGTTAATTACTTTTTTTCTGAGACGACTTCTCTTCAAAGCTTTCGACAGGTCGAGGCAGACTACGGAGGCATCCCGTGCACGGGACCCACCCAAGCTTCCAGAGGCGGCCGGCGAGCGCGCGCGCGCGCAGGGAGAGAACTCTTGTGGATCTGCTTCGCTTCTGCTTTTTCACTGGGTGGGGGAGGCTGTTTCCAAGCG